CGAAAGTTAGCTTACCCTTAACACCAATGATGTCACCACGATGGACCTCCTTGTGGGCAGTGGCAAAGTCAACATCACCAGTCCAGTCTTGTGCGACAGACATGACCTGAAGATACTTCAGTGACCAAGTTGGGGACTGCAGAGTGACCTAACCTGAATCTTATGGCCATCCTCCCAGAGATCATAGAAAACCATATGCTTGCCGCTCTCACGCTTGGACATGGCGCGACCAGCCAAGCACACAACCTGATGATGAATGAGTAAGCACCAAGTGAAAGGGAAATTGAATGTTCCCACATCGGCGGTATGCTGACCAGCCTCGAGGTCTGTGTACTTCTGAGTAACTTCAGCCACAGTAGAATCGACTGGCCACTTGTGGGGGTATGCTTCTCGACCAGAGGCTCGGATGGTGTCGAGCTCAGCCAAACGGTTATTCCGGTACCTTCCCAAAGCACATGTTAACCCCATCGAAGAGCCTTGCGTACTGGGTGGGATCCAAATCCTCATCGCTGACCTTATCAACCTTGGCGGCCTGCAGTAGGGACCACTTCCAAACCACACATGGTCGCGTCATTACTCACCTTCTGCGCGGCCATCTTAGCCTCGCGTTCGGCCTTCTTGGCAGCAGCCGCGGCGGCCTTAGCCTCACGGGCCAAACGCTTACGTTCGTGGGCGGGGAGCTTTTGGGGAGTCTCAGTCGACTCTGAGACATTCAATTTTTCAACCATAACTCTTCCTCAACCTCTTCCTACCGTTGGCGACTGGTGCCGCGGTGGCAGCAGTGGAATCCTCAGCAGGAGTAGTCATCAGTGAGCGATAGTGGAGTATCGGACGGAAGAAGCTTAAAGACGATCGAAGATAATGAGTGTTTCTGTAGAGAGCCGCTGTGGCCTTTGTGATTGTCAAATGCATTAACTGCCCGCAGAGCGGACAGTCCTCGAACTGACACCTCTAAACTGTTCAACACAAGGCCGAGGAGTCAGACTAAATCGACACCTTCACGACTTGCATGAGAATCGTAGGAATACTTGCCTTCCCTCATCGAGAGGACAATCGATTGAAA